AATAAACTGATGCTTCGTTTTCAACTGATCTTGTGAAAAATTCTATTATTTTTAATTTCAAACTAGCAAAATAATAGTTAATAATTTCGAATTAATGTAACAGTATAAATAATACTATCACATTTGGTACTATCATATTTTTTCTAATAATAAACTCCCCTTTAAGTATTTACATCAATAGTTAAGTACTGAAAAAAATTCGTAATGCACTTCACTTAAGGAAATATTAAGTGCCCATAATAAAACTGACACTAAGGTCTCTTAAATTTAGAAGAATTTAGAATGTAAATTGTAAAGTGATTTTCATTGTATCTTGGTGTCTTTATTTAAATGGTATATTCCTACTTCAATAGTAATTAATCAAATCATAAGCGATGATGGTACTTGTCGATGGCAGCAGATCTGACAACAAAGCTCTACCCACTTCGGACGTTTATGTGAACCCATTGCGAAACTGCAGTATAAAAGGTTTCATCGACTGTTGTAAAAGAAACTTTACTGATGCAGCTTAATATATGTTTTCAAGTTTTCTGATTTCAAAGACATTATTTTTCTTAAAGATAAGATAGATACTTCGGTTACTCATGCGTAGGAAAGCAATTTTGTATTTTGGGGTATTGCATAAAAATAGTGATCTAAAATAATGGCTTTAACAAGAGATATCAGAACTGAAATAAAAATAACATATTTACATGCCTTTGGTTAATTAAATTTCTATTAGTATCCATATGCTCTATGAGCAAATCCTACTTTGTATATATCTTGAAAATGAAACCATTGACTTTATATATATACATATATATATAAATTTCTTCACTCCTAGGAGGGCATAGGGCGTCGAAATCATTGACTTTATTCGTAATTATTTACATTATAAAGAAATAACTAACTCATTTCAAGTAAAGAAATAATATCATTTAACTAATTCAGTACAGAACCATATACTCTAGATATGTGCGTAGAGTTTATCAGTTTCAGCATTGCCATTTAATATACTAAAAAACTTTTATGAGATATGTAAATTAACAAATATAGTTAATTCATTTCCTATAATGAATTTGTTTAAACATTACTGTCAATAAATTTTAAGGTAACACTATATTATAGACAGCATACCAATAAAGTGTGGTCTTAAGCTGTATTTAAGCGTAATAATGTCACACATATTGTAAATATATATTTATACCTAAGTATCTGTAAGGTTGAAAAGTATCTACTTAATACTGTTAGCGTTGAAATTTGATCTGACATGAAATAACTGTTTACAAGTTTTTATATTCAGAAAGACATTTTATATTAAAAATTATGGGTTTGGACATGATAACGACTTATTTTATTAAAGTATGCTAATTGATGTTAGAGGGTGTAAGTATTATAATGAAAGTCAATTAATTAATAAATAGAGACATTATCTACTAATTAAGTGTGAAAAAAAATTAGAAATCATTTTAAGCCCTTGTTGTCTTTGCGTAAATTTTAATAAAATTAAGTTCAATAACATTAAATCACTATTATTTAGATTTTTTTGTATAGAAAGATACATCTTTTCAATGACCAACTTCCAGTCTCTATAAATAAATACGTATTGTAGTCGATGTTATTAAAGTTATTGTTTTTTCTAATTGAAAGCGAAAGACAAAAACAGACAATACAATTAAATTAAATTAATGAAAAGTTAAATTTTGGAATTTGATATATCCTGTTCCATTCGAATATAAAACATTCATCATATATGCAATTTTTTCAGAATGTATATGGCATCAAGCGAATCATATATAATTATAACAAAGATAATGTGAAGTATATAAGTTTTAAAAGGAAATTAAATATTTCACTCTCATAAGTCAGGAGTATGGTTATGGAAGATTTATGTATCAATATAAAAAATTTTATTAATTACTTAATATATGTAAAATGTGTGTAAATGTGTTTTATTATTTTAATTATATATTTTTTACCTTCTAATATTTATTTACTTTAAATATTTATATATTATATGATAATTTGAATATTTCTTTCGCTTGCATATTGACGTTTTCTTAGTGTTTTCCAACGATTTTATTTAATTTATTTTATCTAAAGAAAATTATATTTAACGATTTTTAAGTCACGCAACAAGTTCAGTGAATGTGCAAACATAACAGTGACGGTTTCACACAGTTTTTACAATAAATTTCTGATACTCGTGATTTGGTTAATTATTTAGCATTTAAATGTTTGCTATTGCGAAAGTTATATGTAAATGCAGCAATGTATTTGACCCATTCAAATCTGAAACCTACACAGTTTTTATGATATGTCAAGTAAAATACGGTACTGATTTTTTTGAAAAGCCGCCTCTGATGAACATAGATATGCAAATCTAATATGCTTCGGTTCAGTTATTTTGTAACACCTTCACTACTTGAGCCAGCACCCGATACCAATGAAAACGAGTCTTCGTGTGGGTACATGTAACCATCAAATAATTTGAGACGTAAATTGCATGAAAATTTGTGTATTACAACAAACGAACTAAACTAAATCAGATTAAACAAGCTTAGCTCGGTTTACTAAATTTACAACGTACATTTGAATATCAAATAAACCAAAAAAATGTTAACACATTGCTTTTTTCAAATCATTAAACCTATATCTCACCAAATTTTGTAAGAGTTTTAGTATCTTTAGTTTCGCGCGAGTAACCAAAATTACTTTCTTTTTGTTTAGTTTTAAAAATAAAGTACATTAAATAATTTATAAGAAACAAAGTGTGGAATTATTCGATTCATTTTCAAATAGAATAGGTTGTAAATATTATATTACATAAAAGATAGAACATCTAACTGGTTTTACTGTACTAATGCAAATCGCTACCTTGCATAAAATAGATCCTTGCATAAAATAAAAAGACCCATATTTTGGGAAAAAATTTTGTTTTTTTTTCGTAGGAGTTATGGATCCATGGGGTTTAAAGAATTGGTAAGGTAGACACATTTTTAAACGGCTATATCTCAAGCTACCTAAATGATAGAAACTTGAAATTTAAAGATTATAAGATCAGAAAATTTAAATCTGAACTATTAGATCTAATATCGACAAATTTTTCTAATGCAATTTCCAATACAAAAACTTTAATTTGCTTTCAATTTACGCCAATAAATCCAATTTCTAATAACGAAATATTTAATAAGTCGGTAAGATTTAGTTGTTAATTTATATATTGATTATATTCATACCTAAACTTATTTAAATTAAATTGTCTAAATTATATGTATATCACCTAAATAGGTTTTATATTATTCGAAATATGAAAAACAAGCTTTGATCATTTTGTTATGGAATATAGTGATCTGATTTTAAATCGATTATTAGAATAAATGTTAAAGGTCTGATCTTCAAATCCTATTTAGAATGAATCGTAATTTCATTTTACAAAAAACAAAGAGAGCTAAAACTGTATGCGTATCTGTATGTAATTATATGTTATAAATTATATTTATAGATGCAACCATCTCGACATATTTCAGATATCGTTTTTTCAGTGTATGTATAAAAGATATAAAAATTATAAAATAAACCGATATTTTAAAATAATTATTAAATATAACTTATAATTGTGTAACGAAATATTTAGACATCCAAAATTTAGTAATAAGATGATATTGAAGATTGCGAACAGTTATTTCCACAAATCTCGAATAATTTTTGGATAACTTTGAACTGTTGAAAGTTAAACTGAATAAGGACAAGTATTATCGATATATTACATAGTAGTAACCTAAGTACCTTTGTATTATATATTATTAAAAAGTAACAGAATGTGGTGAATAATTGAAAAACCGTAATAAGAAATAGTGATGACTATGCTCCAGCGGGAATGGTGTTTAAAGCAACAGTTGGAGGAGGAAGGTGTTAAAGTAGTCCGATCATGCGTCAGATTCGAGGGATCAAGTAGAAGGAGCAACGCGGCGAATGTGTGAGATTGAAGAAGGCGGTTCCTGAGAGAAGTGCTGTATTAAGCCGAAACCTGATAACGGGTTATTATAGCCAATTAGTAATATATTAGTAAAATATTCATATAAATAAAATTTTACTGAAAGTTTTATCAATTAAAAATGTATTGTTGATATATCTAAATTGAAAAATAATGTAAAAATATAGTTTTCTTGATTACTTCTTATGACATTATAGATATTTTTTGTATAATTTGATATGCTATAAATATAATAACATATTGATCGATATGAATTGTTTCAGGAAAAACTATTTTTAATTCAAAAAATACATAGTTCGTTTTACTTGCATATTACAGAAAAATAGATTTATATTTATCTGTAAACATAAATACATAAATGTAAATATAATTACCATAGTTCGTATCTGACATATCTGATAGATAGAATTATAATTTAAAACAAACATTTTAACCATCTGTTTTATATCGTTAACAAAAAAAATATATTATGTTCAAAGCATATATTTGTAAAAATCACTTCAAACTTTTTGACATATTTAAGTAGAAATGACATTAGGAAGCCCTGAAGGAGAAAAGTTTATAACAAATTTGCTTATAAACATTTCATAATTAGTACCAATTATAGTCCTATAATGTTAATGGAATATTATATATTTTAAGTTGTTTTTAAATAGGTACTAAAACCTATCTCTATAGGAATAAATATATATATACCTTATATGTATATACCTTCATAAAAAAGCTTATTAATTAATTGGAAATGAAAGATATGTGTATTTTAAAGACTTTACCATGAAAATAATGTTAGAAATAAAAAATAATTTGAACATTATTTGTATAGTAAAACTTTTTTCAGTAGTTTTTCAACCGATTATATTTTTGAGTCTAAGTAAATACTATAAAAATTTTAAATCCTAGTAACTAGTTAAGATGGCGGTAATTATCTAAAAAGTATTTAAAAAAAGGTAATTCACAAAATTTATTTTAATAAAATATTTTAAAAAAGTTATTTAAAATTTAATTTTACAAGTTGTGAACTTACCTTTTGGTTTATATTATCACAGAATTGTTATATGAAGTTTAGGCGTTTTAGCTTATGTATGTATATGCAATGTATGGTTAAAAGAAATTAGTTTTTTATTGGTTTGGGGAATATTCGATACTTCTTTTGGTTATTGTTGTACATTGATGGATATTATTTTGTTATAACAAATGAGTTATAATAATTTTTCACTCATTTTGGGTTAAAATATGGAAGAACATTTTATTGGTGGTGCCATTTACATGTTGCTATTCCAATCCAATTCTGATTAGATATCTGAAAGTAAGACGTAGATGTAATCATGAATATAAATATTTATAGATTATAGATAAATTATTTTTTACATTTATATTGATTTTTTAAAAATATTTCGTATATAATAAGATAAATGTGCTGATGCAAATTTGAATTATTTCTTTAAGGATAAATCTATTTTGAAAAGTGGTGAACTACAACAACAAAAACTCATTTTATATTATTTTAATTAATTGAATTTTTTGCTGACAATCCAGCTGTTTCGAGTATTGTCAAATACGCATCATCAATGGTCTTGGTCATGTATTTAAGTATACATAAATAATTTTTTGAGATATGTATTGAATCTAATCTAGGAAGGTAATACTGAGAAAGTCAGGCTAATGTTACTCAGTATTAAAGTCAGACTAATTTTAATGTTACCTGCCTTTATTGGTCTTAAACTATATTAAACGGTTTTATCATCTTCGCAAATAACTAATGCAACATATAAGTTAAATCATATTAAAGCTATATATTGAACATAAATATTTAATTGAAATATTTAAAAATTAATACAGATATACAATTGATTCTGTGAATTATTCTTCAAATAATGCAACATATAAGTTAAATCATATTAAAGTTATATATCCAACATAAATATTTAATTGAAGTATTTGAAAGTTAGCACATACATACAATTGATTCTGTGAATTATTCTTCAAATAAATATTTAGTTACGTTTTATTTGTATCAAAGGGGCTCCTAAAATACTAAATTGATTAACAGAATATTGATAATACGTAGTCTCTACATAGACTATTACATTTTTATTAACGGTTAATTTTGCCAGTATGCCAAAAATATTTAAATTTGATTTTTTTTTAAAGTCAGTACATCGATTACACTCAAACAGATCCATCAGGTTGTATATATATATATATACATGTATATTAGGGTGGCCGTTATTTACGAATGTGTTCAAATTCTAGATGCCACCCCCTAAATTTATTCGAATACTCAAAAAACTACTAAATGTGAAGTTTTAGACTAATCGGATAATGTTTAGATGTCGCTCATCGACCTTAAACTTCGGAAAAATGCCATTTTTTCACTTTTTTCAAATTTCTTCGCTCCCATCTCGCGTATTTTTCACCTTTGACTATTTGTACCAAATTAATATTATTCTTTAACATATTAGCTTTCAAATAAGGTAAAAATCAATCAATTTCGTCCACAATTAACTAAATTATTACTAAAATAAGAAATCATAGTCGACGTTTATTGAAGCTTTCAAGAGCAGCATAACTATGGGAGTAAATACGAGTATGTATGAGCGAAAGTACAGTTTCTTGGACACAAAATGGTACAATATAATATTTGAAGACAATCAAATACTTCCTCACTATATATAATTGTCCACACTTGATTTGAATAATATGCATAAAATAGATTAATAAATATAATAAAAGGAAAGGAGTCCTTAAGTAATTTATTTAAAATTTAAATTTATTTATTATTTGACAAAACTGTTTTAGTATACTTTTTAAAAGTCTTTCTATAATCTGTTATTACTTGCAATAAATATTGTTTATCTTGCTCATTTTTACCAAGGGCTCTATTAAATTCTTCGAAAAGTTTTACTCCTCGCTCTGCCGTATCATTAACAGGTCTTATACTGTGAACAATTTTTAACGCGTGTACATAATCTGTATGTTGGTTCCATTTTTCTGGTTCTAGGTTCAAGAAATCTGTAGATATATTGAATCGCTTAAAAAAGTTAATGGTATTGGCTGTCACAAAATCCTCTAGTGATTTCGATAAAAAATCAGTTACATTCTCCATCTTCAAAAGAATTCGTTTTTCTCCGTCTTTTTTAATATCGTCCAACATTCATTGATATAATTTTTTTTAACTTATCTGCCATTCTTTTTTTAATTTTAATTGGAATGTTGTCATGAAAAAAAGATAGACCAATGCATTCATCGGATAAATACCATAAATGGTTACACATCTTCTTAATAGCAGTCTCAGATATTGTCTTATCAATACATCTATAATTTTACATTTCTTTTATAAAACAAAAATCTTGGTAAGCTGCTTTTGATGCTATAACACATTTGAACCAATATTTTACGTAAACATGTATTATGAACAAACAGATTTCTTTTAGCTTTTGCTCTTCGAAAGATAACAATGAGAACTCATTTCGAAATAAATATATCTTTAAACAGTAAAGGGCTTTGGACATCCAACGAGCATGGTGCATTGGTCCAGTGTCACGGAATATTGGTGATAAACTTTCTCCCAAAGAGATGATAACTAGTTCCAATAGTTCTTTATAGTCATCTCTGCAAATTGATTTTTGTAGTTCTTTGTAACAAAAAGTTGTTATTTCATCCTTAACACCTAAGAGAATTTCTTTTGTTTACTTAAGGACTCCTTTCCTTTTATTATATTTATTAATCTATTTTGTGCATATTATTCAAATCAAGTGTGGACAATTATATATAGTGAGGAAGTATTTGATTGTCTTCAAATATTATATTGTACTATTTTGTGTCCAAGAAACTGTGCTTTCGCTCATACGTACTCGTATTTACTCCCATATTTATGCTGCTCTTGAAAGCTTCAATAAACGTCGAGTATGATTTCTTATTTTAGTGATAATTTAGTTAATTGTGGACGAAATTGATTGATTTTTACCTTATTTGAAAGCTAATATGTTAAAGAATAATATTAATTTGGTACAAATAGTCAAAGGTGAAAAATACGCGAGATGGGAGCGAAGAAATTTGAAAAAAGTAAAAAAATGGCATTTTTCCGAAGTTTAAGGTCGATGAGCGACCTCTAAACATTATCCGATTAGTCTAAAACTTTACATTTAGTAGTTTTTTGAGTATTCGAATATATTTAGGGGGTGGCATCTAGAATTCGAACACATTTTTTTGCCCCCATACATATTACGGCCACCCTAATGTATATATATAAACTCTTATTTTAAGAACTTCCATATAAAGTTGCAACAAATCTGTGGCAGATGTTACTTAAAAATGCATTATAATTAACGCATTAATTAATGTAGACAGATTTGTTAATTATCTAATTCTACTTTAGAAGACTCGGTAGGTGACATATGAATAATATTTCACTTATTGCTATTGAAGCAGCAATTTTACATGAAAAGTTATAAGAAGATATTGTCTTAGTACCACACAATAAGAATGATCTTATTGTTTATTTAGGTTATTAACCAACACAACCGAAGTCTTAAAGCAGATTGTTGTTTTGTAAAGCTTAAAATTTAAGGGAATAAGTTTCTTAAATTTTCAAATTAAATCATTTAAGAAGCATAGCAACACGGGCGGGGTACAATATATGATAAAGAATGTGTTAAAAACATATTTAAATACTATGCATTTTTTTTTTAAAAGCAATCTCGGACTGATAATGCAAAACATATCAATATAATATATTCTGATATTGATATGTTTTCAGATATCTTTGATTTACAACATGAAATTGATATCATAAATCTGAGCTTATTAATAAATCATATATGAGAGTATATAATTACAACGACTAAATTCACAGATACAGATACATATATTAAGTAATGAAAAGATAGAGGTAGCTGTCGGTTTTTGGTTTTATCAAGCAAGTCAATCTCAAGAAAATAATAATAAATAATTTTATTATGATTAAATGTTAAACTGAAACTAGACCAAAGTATAATATTTCTCTTTCTAGAAATAATTACAATTAATTTAATGAGAAAGAATACAACTGAGAAGAAATGTAAAATATGGCGCAGCTAAGATTTTTAAGGTGTGTTTTTAATTAATTAAGGAAATAAAAGTGAAAACTTGGTGGCAAACAAATAATAAAATGAGCACTTTAAAAGTCTGATATTAAATTGAATTAAAAGAAATTAGATTACTTTTTATTCTTTATTATTCTGGCATTTTAGCAAAATAATGACATATATTTTTCGTGGTAATAAAAAAAGTATATAAAAGTTAAAACGTGTGGTCGTAATTAGTTTTTTTTTAATAATCGCACCTAACTTAGATATAAAAAGTAGAACAACTTTTATAAAAATATTATTTCCCACAAATATAAAGTTGCCACAATTATCTTACTTTATTATTTATACGTGATTGCGTTCGTGCGAAACTATCAACTTAAAAAAAGATACATTAGCTGTGTAGAATATTTGAAATAATTTGTAATTGAGTACATATTTACAATTATAGGCACTTAGATCCAAATCGATAAGCAAAAGTTCACAACTTAAAGTATATATAAAGGCATAGCATTATAAAGTTACTCGTATTAAATCTGTAATGTTTTACTAACGTAACTTACTTAGCAATACATATAATGCTTTTATATAATATATTTTTCTAATATTAATAATTATAATTTTAAACAAAAGAAAGAGTGGGTGCCAACGTTCACATAGATAAAGGTAGATATATAGCAAAAAAAAAAATAGATTAACTAGAATATAATTATTGGTACTGTGTTATTATGTAGTATTCTCAGCAAATATTTATTTGAAATATAGTGACCTAAAGCCGCGAGAAAGAAGGCAGTTATCTACGGGCATGGTGTTTTAGATTTCTGGTGACCAAATCCAAATGTGTCCATATGTGGAGTATGGATATATGTTTATATGAATATTTGTATCATAAGTGAGGAGCTTTCCTAAAACAATATAAAAATTGTTCAAACTGTCATAGTGAATGCAATTATAAATTTTTGTTAGAAAAATATTTTTAATTTGTAACTTTCAAGGGGTCCATTTCAAATAATTCTTCTGCCTACCCTTTGGCTTCCAGAAGAAATATTTTTTTGAGGGAAGTATATCTTTGATAGTTTATGAGATTGCTCATTCGTAAGGATGACAGATCCATTTAATTATTCGAATTTAATAGAAAGTTAAAAACTATTTCTGTTTTAGCTTTTTGCAAGGCTTATGAAATGGATATGAAAGGATATGAAAATGGAAGAATATCTGCTTGCACCCCACTGCA